CCGGGCGGGGCATCCCGTCGCAGCCACCCTTGGCACGGCAACAGGAGTGGCAGAAGTTTTGACGAGGGTGCGGGACCGAAAGGGCCGTCCCGTCTGGGCCCCACGCTGCCCCATGGCTGGCCCTGAACGCCCCACGCCCCGGGCACCCCCACCCACCACCCACCCCCACCCAGGGGTGCCAGGGCTACTCTGTGGAGCCTTCCCATCCGGTCCAGCGGCAGGGATTCCTCCTCTTGGGCCTTGGCCGGGCTTTTCTTGGCCAGGCACGAAAAACAATCCGTCCAGGGGTTGGGTGTGTTTGTGTGTCTCCCTGTACGGCATTTATCCGGGTGGGGCTGAGAAACTCTTGCCTTTGCTTGCAAGGCGTGTTTCCTGCCAGAAGGCAGCACCCACTGGCTCCCGAAAGGTTGACAGGCTCAACCACCTTGGTTTTCCCATCGAGGGAGGCACCTCCGTCTCTTGCCACCAAACCCAAGGAAGAGTCTTGCAATACATTTAAAGAACCAAATAGGTGCAGTACATTTTATTTGGCACGAATGTTTCTCATCTGATGGGCTGCGCTGCAGCTTTTGCCAAATAACACCACTTTTTGTTTTTAAGAGGTTGATTTCTTTTTTTAGCAGCCATACAATTCTGTCATTTTGCCCCTTCCGGGATGAAGAATGAAATAATTAAACAGCAGCAGCAACTCGTAACATCATCTACAAGCATTGCCACACTTGTGTGCTTACCAACAATAACAATTGGCTGACACAGGGATGCTCATGCGTGCGCACATGCTCGCACCAGCCCATTCTCGTTTGTCCAGCAAGGTCTTTTTGAGCACTGACTGAAAGGTTAAAACTGCCTTATTTTCCCCCACACACATATAAGTGGCACCCCTCCCACACTTACTGTAAATTTGTGAATTTCGTTGTATGGGTATACTGTGTATATACTTACAATGACAATAAATTATTATTATTATTAAAAAAATGTTTACGGCAATATGGATGAGCATGGATGGGGAAAGTGCCTTTCAGCAATGTGCTTTGATTCCCAATTTGCCCATGAGCTTTCGTTATCAGGCAGTTTAAGTTAGCTAAATAAATATATACATGAAATATATACATAATGCAAGTAACAGAGCCAGAGAGATCTGCCAAAAGGGAGGGGTTGTTTGCACATGTTCCAATGGAGTGGGGTGGGAGAAATTTTACGCTGTCTTTGCCCACTGCTGTGGCACACTGTAAGGTCCAATAACACGCACACGCGCACACCGCCCCGCCCAAAAGTGCTTGAAAAAGAAGACAGGGCTGGTGTGGTCCCGTGTTCCTCTGCCTAGGGCACCTCTCTAACTGCCGTGATGGGGCCAGGGTGCAGAAAGGGGGCCTTGTGGAGGCTGGGAGTTCGAATCCCAGCTGTGCCTCCAGCGAGAAGAGCCAGCCTGGGAGGCCTTGGGCGAGCCGCACACTCCCCGGATGTCCCTAGAGGAAGGGAAGGGCGTAACCACTTCTGACGACTTTATACCTAGAAAACCTTATATATTTTACTTGTGAACTCTTATTTTAAAGTATTTTACTCTTCAAGAAAAGGTCACCAAAAGTCAGAATTAACTTGAACGCCCACAGTTAGTTTTAAGAGTTTATATTCACCCCTCCTTCGTTTTAAAGGAACAACTGCCTGCAGTCCCATGTTACTTTGGTGCCGGAACAATGACAGCAGAAGCAGTGCGATAATCAGAAAAAGCAAGGGTGGCCACATTAGCCCCAAGGAAAAGAGGATAAAGCATGCAAAAGTACACGATAGCTATTAAAGTTAAAGATGGGGAAATGGCTGTGAAACTTAGCATTTCCATTCCAAATTCAGGGGTCAGGTGCTTCAGCCAAGAGGTGATGAACGGACCGTTTGTGGGGTGTCTGCCAACCTTTATCTCTAGAGATGGAGACGGGCAATTGATTCTGCATCCTCGGAGGTGCCGTTTCATCGCACCCCATCTCAAGCTGGCTCTCCATTCTTGCAAGACTCAATTTTGGAGCTCACGTGACCCCCGACTGTCATGGCTGTAACATCAGTTTTCTCTTCAAGGCCTCCAGCCTTGGAGCCCCCACCACCTCCTGAAGTCATGGCTTCCATTATCGTACTGCTCTAACAGCTAAGACGTTTTTCCTGATATTCAGCCTAAGTGCCAGATTCGGAGATTGGGTATATTTCCTCATCTACAACTCCTAGGATTTCCAGCTAGCCAGGCCACAGATCATTGATCATGCTGTTTAGGGATTCTCACAGTTGTGGACTTCGGGGTGTGTGTGTAAGAAATACCTGCAGGATATTTTAATTTGAGCTTTATAGGTGTTAAGCTGTTTGAAATTGATCCCATGGTTTCACTTTTTAAAAACCATCAGCAGTCGTTCTAAATTGCCTCTTGCTCAAACCCTATCACACAGCAAGATATACATGTTGTCATTAATTATAATATCCATTATGCGATTTAGTTTGTACCCCTGGTGATAGTTCCTAACCCGTTTTGTTTAGAATGGGTCCAGGTTTTTTTTTACATCGTTTGGATATGACTCATTTCTCTGAAAGCAGCAGAGAAACAGCAGGCTCCCCATTTGCTAAGGCCTTTCTTCTGTCCCATGGCTGGTTGCAAGGATTCCTGCACAGAAACAAACTGTTCTATTTTCGGAGGCTTTGCGGGGGGGGGGGGGGATAGGTTTTCGCACAGCAGCACAGATTTCCAAACCCAGGTCCGGCCTGTAGTAGCCCCAAAGGAAAGGCCTTTGTCCTGTGGGGCAGGAAGCAGCCCTTCGCTTTTCGGAGAAGGTTTGGGAACGCCTGTTTGTGCTGGGAACGGCCACGGTTCCTCTTGGTTTTAGGCTGGAAAATGATTTCAGGAAAGGAGTTTCTTGGGGGGGGGACCGTGACTGTTTCCGAACCTCTGGATGCAACGCATGGAGACGTCTTAAAACCATGCCCTGCAGGATTCAACCAAAGGCCCCCACGGGGGACGGATCTCCTGCTTCTGACATTTCAGACTAGGGTCAGGAAGACCTTTGGAAAATGCTCCCAATCCAATGAAGTTCAGAAAAGTTTCTACAAGGCCGAGAATCTCCAGCCAACCATGGCCAGTTGACGATGAACCCACTCACCCAGGTGGCCATGCTGGCTGGGGATTCTGGGAGTGGTGGTCCAAAAAAGTAACTCTCCAAGCTGTGCCCCCCCCCGACTGTGAAGCTTGCAGGGTGACCTCTTAGGCAGTGGCACTCTCTCGACCCCACAGGGTTGCTGAGATGATGGGGGGGGCGGCTATACACTGCAGCGCGTTGGGCCTCCTTGGAGAAAAGTGGGTGCCCAGATGCCTTGTTCTCTACTGCAAATACAGTACTGTTTTTCACTGTTATAAGCTGCCTTGGGTCCTTCCCAAGGAGAAAGGTGGGGTAAAAAAAATATTAAATACAGTAGATGAAATAAATACAATTTATGTATTTGAACTATTTTTACCCCTCCTTTCTCCTTCAAAGGGCCCGAGGCAGTATACATCATTAAAAAGACAACATTTGAAAGCTAAACATGGTAAATATACAAGTAACAGCCGGAATAAAAGTAATCACGAGTGTGGGAAGACACACACCCCGCCGCCCCCGCCGCCGCCGCCTTTTCGCAGCCGGCTCAGGTCCCGAAGGGGC